TAGTTCGACGTCATGTTTTAAACACTGTGTGAGCCCGGGAGGCTGCTTGACAAAAAGCCAAGCGAGCAGGTTGAGAGGAAATAAAAGGTGTCCACACGGACAGAAATTCATCAGCGTGTACGATGTCTGTGCTAAAGAGATTTAAAAAAAAAAGAAATGGAAATACTGCTAAGCTGCCTCCCATCAAAAGCACAAATGATACCTTAAAAAAATGGGGCCAGAATTCGCCTAAACCGTGCCGGGTGTGGAAATCTCGAGGACGCGGGGCTGCTCCGCGCTTCCTCCCTGCTGTGGGTTGGCGTGTGGGAGTGGGAATAGTCGAGAAGGGAAAACAGATCTGTGGAGCATTGTAGAAGGCTGAGGGTAGCCTGTCCCTGGCTGAGCCCTGCACGGAGCCCGGCATCCCAGCGCTTTTGGCGATCACTTCTTTCCATCCTCAACAACAGTTTCAATGGTTTCCTGCTGCCTAGTAGCCAGGTTATTAACATTGAACTGGGCTTCCCTTCTGAATCAAACTTTAGTGGTCCAGAATATATTTCAGCTGAGAGCACAGTTTTTTGTTTTTGCTGTTGTTGTTGTTGTTGTTTGTAATGGCTGAAATAAGAAATTGAGTCGTTAAGTCATTCGAATTCCTTCAGGGTTTAATCTCTGCGGGCCTTCTCAGCTTTTTTATGTGTACAGTCAAGGGAAGCTTGGAGAAGCGAAAAAGGCTGTCGTGATAAAGGTAAGCCACAAATTAAAAGAGAAATACAATGCACTGTGACTTTTAATTATTAAATAAAAATATCAAAGACGCCTCTTTTCATTTCCTTCTACACATTTCGCTTTAAATAAGTGCTTTTTGGCAATTGAGGTTCCTAGACAATTGGCTTTTTTAATTTATTTATTGTTGTGGTAAAATATTGTTGAACCCAGGGCTTTCCACATACTAATCAAGCACTCCGCCGATAAGTTATAGCCCTAGACCTGAATCTTTTTTTAAAGATTTATTTATTTATGTGTATGTATGTATAAGTTTATGTGTACTATGTCTGTTCAGATACCTGCAGAGACCAGAGCGTATCCAATCCCCTACAACTGGAGTTACAGGCACTTGAGAACTGCCCTGTGAGTAGCAGAAATCAACTCCAGTCCTCTGCCAGAATACGTGCTCTTGTCGGGCGGTGGTGGCACACGCCTTTAATCCCAACGCTCCAGAGGCAGAGGCAAGCAGATCTCTGTGAGGCCAGCCTGGGCTACAGCGTGAGTTCCAGGACTGTTAACACAGAGAAACCCCATCTTGAGAAAAAAAAAATAGTATTCATCTAAAAAAATTAAATTGTTACATTGTTGTTGTTATTGTTAAAATAGAAGAACAGGTATGGAGCCGGGTTGGTAGCCCACACCTGTAATCTCAGCACTAGGAAGGCAGAGGCAGGTGGATCTATGAGTTCAAGGCTAGCTTGTTCTAAGTAAGACAGCCAAGGCTACATAGTGAGACCTTGTCTTAAAAAAA